ATAAAATATCAACTAAAAGTAAGAATATAATAGAAAATATAAGGCGTACAACATGTGGAAGTTCAAAAGTAAATGAATGAACATTCAAAATACAGTACACTATATTTATAACAAGCACACTTATAATGAACTGACTGTTATAATCAACTGTACTTCTTGTCAAGATCACTTGTATATTTTACTCAAAATTTTTAAATGAACTAAGGTAAAAAAAACAACTAAAATGATTTGTCCCTGTAGGTTTGCTATAACGATAATTTACTGTATTTCTACAAATTACAAGGCATAAATTTCTTCTTGAAACGACAAACGTACCATGACAATAAGGGCAAAGGTTTGACCTATGGACACCTTGCCAATAAGAAAAAGCAGCTAGGAAAGTTAATATGTCTAGGATGAGGCAATACTGCAGAGTGGATGCTGAACTGCTGAGCAGAGGTGGTTATACCGGGTGTTAATGAAATCGTCAGTAAGTGGACTGTGCTATTGATTTCTTCACGATGTCCTCACAGGGTCACAGGAGGCTCGAGAGCAATTCTCTAATGTTAGAATTAGCATGCCTGAGGCATCCATACCACAAACACTGGCCAGTCTTGCTTTATTTGGCCTACCATTAAACACGACTTCTTGTGATTAATGCCGTCTTGGGATTTCAACCCAATAGTTATAACGCTTTTTCAGCAAACTCAGAAGTATACTTTTCATAAGGATAAATGATGTATAATAATTGTTTGACTTGATGCCTTTCTCAGTGTAAGGAAGACCTGAGTGTTGAACATTCAAATCTCAGAATTTATTCAACTTAGAATAAAAGTTGTTTAACAAACGATCATAGATTCAAATCGCTATTATTTGTTTGTATTACAAGGGGGTAAGCGCAGTAGTTGGAACAGTGAATCAAATACACGTGCAGTACGTAATGAGCATTAACTTAGACCTCAGTGTTTCATGTAATGTGCATACCCCCTTGTTATACAAACCAATAATAGCAATTTGAATCGTTTGTTAAACAACTTTTATCCTAAGTTGAATACAATTCTGAGGTTTAGATGTTCAATTGGCAAGGTAAAATTATGAAGATTCGCAATCTTAATTTCACTTAATTCGAGTTACTGTTTTGTTTAAAGTGCAATTCATCGATACGTTTTCACAGCAAACAGACTATAATTCTTACCCAGAATTCCCTGGAGTAAATCTACAAAGTTCACTGAGTATTAATAATGTTGCTCATAGTATGATTATTAGAACATTTCATTGCTCAATATATGGTAAGTGGGTGAATCTAGTGGTTAAAGCTCTACTAGACTCATTTCCAGTCTCCTGTATTAGTTGACTGACTGAGTTTGGTTTTACGCCGCTTTTAGCAATATTCCAGCAATATCACAGTGAGGGACACCAGAAATGGGCTTCACACATTGTACCCATGTGGGGATTCGAACCCAGATCTTCGGCGTGACGAGCCAATGCTTTAACCACTAGGTTACCCCACCGCCCCTTTCCTGTATTAGTACAATTGACAGTCATCACAAAGATCTTGTGCAACCCATAACATACCTTTTGACATAACTGTGAGAAGATTTGCAGGTCAACATAGAGACTACTACAAATGTCATCATGCTGCACATGTTCAGAACCTGACCCAATTTGTCCATCCTCAAGACACACAATATCAATTATTTCCATCCATTCAAAATTTATAAGTGTATTGGACACAATCATAATCTGATAAAAATCTTACAAAACCTTGTGTCAATGACACATTCGCCAGGTCAACTTTCCACCTACTGTATCTGAACTTTAGAGAGATGCTTACACAAAAGGTTGACAGAATAAGGAGCCCTTCCTCAACATGCTTAGTCTATCATACACACCCTGAAACAAATATAACCAATACAGCCCCGGCAAGTCTAGATTATGTGAGAAGTCAAGAAACCACTGTTTCAGAAAATGAAGAAAGTCACTGGGCACCTTTTCATTACATTTTATGAAAAGAACTTACAAACTTTTTCCGGTAAAATATGTTCATTTCAGAGACTAGATGTTTGACCACAACATGCTCAATTTTGTTCAATGGTAAGAAATACCAGTTGTGACTTTGATGGATGAGGACCCCCCCTGACACTTCAAAGACATACCATGACAGTTGTGTTCTCCAGGTTAACTGGTGCTGACAACATTGTCAGCTACAGACAGCAGAAACAACACTTATGTCAGCAATGCAAACACTGTTGATTGATATGCATTCACACACACTAGTTGTGTCATGCTTTGTCATTCACGATCCAGCGGAGTGACAACCCTCCTTAATGCCGACTGTGTCCTATGCTTACTGACACCTTACTGTGAGGAGTTCCTCACAGGCAAACCCATACAAACTGCATTAAAAAGTAACTACCAACAACTAATAATATTGGTGTCAAGAGACGATCCAACTGTTATTTTCAACTGAAAATTTAATTAATTTCACAATCTGGTACACACCCTTAATATAATCTTGATACCTGAAAATTCAATATACATTCAAGTTACCTTGGTTACTTACAAAAGACTTCATTACATTTCTGGATCAGTGACTCTAGACCACCCAGATTAAAAGAAACACAAAGCATTATTCCTGACCTGAAAGTTCATCATGCAGAAAATCCCACACTTGTGCAGGCCATTTCCCAGGTATTAATATACTGTTAATGGTCCTAATAATTCTCAAGTGGTTAACACCACAATCCTGAAGCCACATACAACGTGTCATCTGTGACACTATTATCGTCACAATATGTTCTGGAGCATACTGTCAGCCGAGTCCCAGACTGAACCTGCTGCAGCCACTAAGTCACACCTGAGCGGTTCCACACACTCAGGACAGTGCAAGATGACTCACTTCACTCCTCCCTGACTGGGGCAGCTGTGATACATTCCATTGATTGTCTGAAGCCAGACTAGGGTAGATATTGGACACTGCATGCAGGCAAGGCTTCCAACCACTCCAGTTCAATACCAGTAAAGCCATGTTACCATTGATGGATTATGCAGTAAGGAGATACGAGAGGCATTTTGTAGCCCATTCACAAATTAAACAATGATAACATTAATGTTGCCAGGATTGGAAATGAATTAATCTCGGTTTACTGCATGTTATTTGCGCTGAAGGGGTCGTTGTCGGCACAGGTACTACAGATACGTACCCCAGGTACCTTTCTGTATACAGATATGTACCCTAACCAAAGTCAAAATACAGAAACGTACCCGGTACCCTAAAAGGCAGACAAGTCCATATTCCGCAATCCAAACCCGAAACCGTATGTAGTTGTTTCTGTTCAACTGATTGCGAGTGGTATTCATATGCATCGCGAAATATCCGTTACTGTGTATTCTCATTACTTCCATAACGCAAATCAAATGTATCTAATACAACAACATAACAGTTCCGATCAAGAATGGGAATGGAATCGTCCTAGGGTACATTTCTGTATTCTCATTATGGCCAGGGTACGTTTCTGTATACATATCTGCGGTACATATCTGTAGTACCCTTGCCGACAATGACCCCTTCAGCGTTATTTGCAGTTGGCCTGCCATGGATAATACGTGTAAAAACTAGTCTTCAGTTAACACTTGTCCCGTTCACTTGTTTTCAGGAAATATGAGTTTTGTTTACTTTAGTTAGTCTTTAGAAACATGTAGTCTTTTAAAAGTCATCATGGAAAACATGCCCTGTTTACCTGTCCTCAGGGTACATGTACCCTGGATAGTTATTTTGTGGGAAGATTTACTCTACATAGTAGTCTTTCGCTCTAACTGGGCATTGATCAATAGCTGCCTGCCATAGTCTTGAATAATGTTGAAATCAATAGCAAATGCATGGCTATTTATAGAGTCACATCATAAGGCATAATGACGTCACTGCTGAGTATTGTTGATACAATGCACATTGTTACTCTTTGCTTGAAGCCAAATTCTTTGAGTACCAGCTCCTTGAAATAATTCCACTGCTGTCTTTGATCTCATGGTTTTGAGATTGTAATACAGGCACAAGAGTCGGAAAAACTTTCAGATTGAGCAACAATAATACTGACTGAAAGTCTGACACATCTGTGGCCATATAGATAATAAACTCTACTTGCATGAATGTATGGATAACACAACACAAGTGCAATCTGACTGTCATGGTTAGTACATGTAAACATGATTCATATGAACCTAGACAACCATGACAACTGTTTGTCATCAATTAGTATGTATATAATGAAATAACAAGAGATCACCATGGAAACTGAATGTTGTCTTACTCCCAGTCTTTGTAATGATCATAGTTGCAAGAGTGGAGAAGAACCCATAATACAGACATCACAGTTGTCATGTGTGAAAATATGTTTTTATATGTCATTCACACAAGCTTCTGGTTGACTTAACCTAATCAGAAACTGTCTTAGTGATAATTTGTTCTTCTACGGAAGTGCCTTGGACTGGTTTTGCTCCTATCTCACAAAACGGCATCATTCTGAACAGTAATCGGTAAAAAGCAAAGTTTCTGAACAAGGAGAATGTTACCATATTGCCTTATCACTGACCTATACAAATCAAAACAATTGACACTTCATTTCTGATCGGTATGGGTCTCCTGGTCCTATATTTCTCATACCTGGACCACTTTTGAATTTACCAAGTACATGCCTGCTCAAACACCCACTTTGATAGTTTTAAAGTTTATACATGGGATACAATGTGCTAAGGTTACCAGACACAAAGATCTATTTCATTAACTTTGGTCAAGTTGCAAAGGTTGCAGACGTAAGAAAATTATCTTCACAGGACAAGAGTCAGCTGACCCTTCATTATACAAGTCAATTTGAAACTGTGGAATAGACAATCTACCACATCGAAGCCAATGTTGAAGGGACTAACCCATATATCCGTCTGCTGCGTACGAACACCGTTATATGGGGATTCAATCATGCTAATTAGCCCAACCATAACCAACATTAATCAGAAACTAAAGAGGATCAGCTCAATTTAGCTCCACTGACTGTTACGCCATGACTCTCCTTTGCAGCCATGTTGGTCTCTAGTGTGCCTGAAGTCTGGAAAAAGAAACAACGGCTTAGAGCACACAGCCATGAAATTGGGAGTCTGGAAGGCTGATCTGGGAGCCCTGTCATTAAACTCTGATGGCTAAATACCGGCATAATAAAGGGGACTGGCTACAAATAAGGTCCAAATTGGAAATTGAGCATTTGATCTAAGTCGAGTCTGTGTGCTGGAATAATTCAAACAAAATGCATAATATATACCCAAGCTGACACCACAATGCCAAACACTTTTTTATCAATCACATTAGTAGCTCAAAGTAGTCTTCTGCTATTGTTTTACATGATTACTTATTGATTTTCATCAAGCTATAGTAGCTAAACAGAAAGTTCACTAAACTGGGGAAATGAGACATTTCATGATGATTTACATCATTCACAGCTAGAAAACATTATGTTTTGGTTTTGCATGTTGTTATTTCTTCCTTCCTTGTTAAAAAAACAGCTTTGGTTTAACAATGTTCACCAACATAATCCAGTTCAAAGACTGATGGGTTTCAAATATCCCGCTGGTTACTATGGTGATGTTTGTTACCACTACTGAGACCCAACACTGAATTTCACTTCTACCAAATATATCCGAATACAAACGTTTAGAAGCAGTTTCCATTATGCCACTTGCTCCAGTTTCCAGACTTTTGAATATTATCCTCCCCACAATCAGTGTCAGATTGTTATTTTAAGCCTCTGCTATGTGTGTATGTGTGCCTCGAACCTTCTTCTTGTACATCCTTCCAGAAACACAGAATCAAGTTTCCAGAGCTGTGATAACATTTACCCAAATGTCTGAAATAGTTGTTGTGAACACACAACCCCAACAGCTGTCAAGGTAGAGAACATGAACAATGCATCCACTCATAGTGACCTAAACTAAGCAGATGCTACTATCCCAAAAACTAACAATAGAGTGTAAAGAAAAACAGACAGACATGTGTCATGCTTATCAATCCTTTCCACTTCAACAGTCTATATTTAGGAGGAAATTTCTTGTTCATGAAAAATGTAAGGCCTAATGTATTACAGATCTACACTATATTTAACTCTCTTTAGCTATCACAATACTCCACCATGTGGAATCTCCTTTTTTCACTATGAAACTAACCCAAGTCTACTTTCTTTGATTCCACAATATGCTGAGGAGGTATGCTTCTATTGAGAAGAAAACTACAAATATTTTGAAGAAACGTTTCCATTGACAACTGTCAGTTAAAAGCTTAAATGTTCATAAAAATATACAGATATTACTATGACAACTGTAAAATTGTGCTTTATATGCCGAGGTTCTTGAGAGAAATAATGATCCTCTTGTTCAGTTTCTGGATTGATGCAACCTGCAGATGCTGCATTGGGTCATTAAGGCTGAAGGGGTCGTTGTCGGCACAGTTACAGATATGTACCCCAGGTACGTTTCTGTATACAGATATGTACCCTGGCCAAAATGAGAATACAGAAACGTACCCTAGGACGATTCCATTCCCATTGTGTCGTATTCTTGATCGGAACTGTCATGCTGTTGTATTAGATACATTTGATTGCGTTATGGAAGTAATTAGAATACACAGTAACAGATATTATGCGATGCATATGAATACCACTCAGGATCAGCTGAACGGGAACAACGACATGCGGTTTCGGTTTTGGATTGCGGAATATGGACTCGTCCGCCTTTTAGGGTACCGGGTATGTTTCTGTATTTTGACTTTGTTTATACATATCTGTATACAGAAAGGTACCTGGGGTACGTATCTGTAGTACCTGTGCCGACAACGACCCCTTCAGCGTCATTAAGGTTTACACAATTACAATGGAAACATGAAGTAGCAGAAGTCAAAGAAGAAATAATAAAGAATTCCAGATGTTCACTTTGGTTTAAACTACTTCTGTCTAACATGCATAAAGTATTTCAGAGTAAAGCATTTATCATCCACAGAACAACATCACCGACCTGAAAGCTTATGCAACATATGAATCATCAGACTCCCCGCTAAGTTTCCCATGCTGCTGTGCTGTCATCAAGCAGAAAAGATTGTATCCTGTAACACGATGCTTGTCAACACTCACAACCAGCAAATTAGAAAACAAAATCTCAAACAAGATCCAAAAGCTCCAACATGAAACTCTGTGATTAAGCCTTGCACACAACAGAAGATGTAGGCAAGGTGCGAAGAGATCACTGATACAGCACAAGTACTTTCTTCAGAATCTGGCAACTTCTATCTAAACACTGACTGAGCGGGAAAGATGCTGGCAGGTCAATGATACTGCCACGAAGATGTCTGGAGTCTGGGTGTTTGTCATCTTGTCCCAGATACCTCCCTAGGATGTGGGAGCTTGGGTTACAGTAAGGCAGATGACAGGAACCGCCTTGCTCCTTGTCCTAGATCTGAAGGAGCTTCCCATAAATTGATCTCAAGGCGAAAAACTAACTCAGAAGACAAAGTAGTGTTTCAAACCAAGGCCGGATCAGCTGCGTTGCTACTGTGGTATTTCACAATAGCAAGTCTTGGAACCCTAAAAATCTTTAACTTGAAACCGTAGAGTTACCAACTTGTTCATCCTAAATTTGAACTCAGCAGCTAGTCAGTCAAGCAATCTGTGAACCATATATTTTCCCCTTCTGTCCCATAATGCTAAAGCCCTGAATTAACCAATTCTAGATTTTCCAAGTTCTGAATTTTCCATCTCACTGTGGCTCCTTTTCAAAATAAATGTACTGGCAGCTGCTTGTTCCTATCAAAATGATATATTTTTTATAATTTAGAGATGACGAAAGTGTTAGTCAACACACCAACATATATAACTCTTTGCCTGCATTAGAAACCCTCAATGTTAGATTAGTCCAATATTCCCATGTTTAATGTCTCCAACTTCCCCATAATAATCACCTCTACATAATTGAATGTCATCCTGTTCCACACTTAAACATTATCCTATTAATGGTGCCACTACAGCAAGTTGTCTCCAAAGTGGCAATGATGCAACACGTAATAAACTACAATATGGGGACTTGGTAAATGCGAGTTAAAGGACTTAATGCTGGTTATCGGTTGACAGCATGCTGCTGGTAATGTCTGTTCCGTTCTATTTTGGTCTCCATGACATCAGATTAGGACCATTCAGCAGTGATGTGCGCCAGGATGGCCATTACCCTGACATTCTGCACTGATAGGAATGGTGTGGACATTGCACTCAGTCGCACATCATGACCAGATACAATGACTTGAAGGTCACCCTCGCTGGGCATCCTGATAAAACTTGTTTAATGATATTTTGATAGTTTTGATTTGTATATCAGTGCTCCAAATGACAATGAAATTGAAGGGGATCTTGTAACAAAACTAATAATGAAAGCAATAGATTTTGTGAGTGAGTGAGCATGGTTTTACGACACTTTTAGCAATATTCCAGCAAATAAAATGTGGGGGACACCAGAAATGGGCTTCACACGTTGTACCCATGTGGGGAATCGAACCCTGGTCTTCGCTTGACGAGCGAACATTTTAATCATTAGACTACCCACTGCCCCAATAGACTTTGGAATCTCTGGATTCAAATTTCATAGCAGAACATTTCATGGACCTAGCTTCCACTCATCAATTAATATTTGACACTGAACAGCATTTGAGGTAAGGTGAAATTGGGTTTTACGTCGTGCTTGAGAATATTTCCCTCATATGACAACGTGCATGCATGTGTATGTGTATGTGCGGCTGCTTGTACTAGCCCAGACTTCAGCTGGTTTTACAGTGCTAGCCCACTGAGATACCATGCCGCAGTGAAGCATGAATACCCCACTCAGACACATTATACTGACTCCGAGCCGACCAGTCCTTGTTGTACCCATTAATGCCGAGCGCCAGGCAGGGACCAACAAGTACCATATTTTAACATCTTTTTGGTATGACGCGGTCGGGGATCGAACCCGCGACCTTCCGCTCTCCGGGCGGACGCTCTAACCACTACACCACAGAGGCGGTCCGAACAGCATTTGAAATGATGGATGAAAGCAAGGATCTGGGTCATAACCCTATTGTTAAAACAAACATGGGGTGCCTAGTTTCAAATACTACAGCAGCAAACCCAAGGACTGAGGGCTCATACAAAAACTTTGCAATTTTAATTTTTTTTAGGCTGCATTTTCAGGCAGCCTGTCACTGCATGCATGGTGAGCATTATTAATTTAAACGTCTGCAAATGAGCTGAAGTTAGGAAGCATGACGTGTGACTGACTCAGTGACAATCTCCTAAGCAAACAACTGACATGTGGACAAAGACGACTCAGTAGAGACCCACCATGCATTTGACATGCCAGGCCTCTGAATGTACAGCACTCGTTTAAAAAATCCAGATTGCAACATCATAATGAGCGCCTTCCTCTCTCTGATAGACCTTGTGTACATCACTGATGATGTTTACAGAGGGAAAGTGGGTTGTTTAAATACTGAATTCAATAATGGCGAGTGAAATTTTGTGATTAACAGAGGTTTCATCAGTCAAAGAAAGGGGTTTCAAAATGAATGAGGTTATAAAAATTAGAGAATGGTGTTTTAGTTGTGAGGGAACGATGTTTGAGGTAAGTGAGATATGGAGTGAGTGAGTGAGTTTAGATTTTGCCGCACTCAGCAATATTCCAGCTATATGGCGGCAGTCTGTAAATACTCGAGTCTGGACCAGACAATCCAGTGATCAACAGCATGAGCATCAATCTGCGCAATTGGGAACCGATTGAGATTTGGAAGTAAGTAACTATCACAGCACTTCATGCTAAATGCTGTGTCAGCCTTTTGGCAGCGATTCACATGAAACAAAAAAATCTGATATTGTGAATGACAGTCCCAAGACACTACGATAGCTTTAAGACTCTTAATTGACTGAACTTAAATTTTACATCACATTGACAACTAAAGTAACAAAAGTATCCTTATTTGCTAATGCTCGCAGTGTTCCATTGACCAAGTCTCCCTTCATGTAAAACAAAGCACACTCACATACACACACAGGAGGCTCTTATGCTTTACATCCAGGGCATTATATACCAGCGGATCTCCAAAAGGCATCCATCATGTCAGAACCTGCTTTTTGCTGATATCCCCTGAGACTTCCCAGCACTCAGTGTTCACAAGGCTCTAGTTGCAGCAGTGGATGGGAGCCAAGTTTACATCACCATCACAACATCATCTACGTTATGTTCAACACAATTACTTCACCTGCATTACATTCTATCATGAGTTGATGGCTATGTTACCGTACTGATAAACATTAGTTTGAATACGAGAACCTGTTTTTCAAAATATATTACGATGCAAGTATGTGACCTTCATATTGTACCAAAATAGATCAAGTAAGGAGGTTTGTGTGCAAAAGGAACATAGCTCAGTGAAGCAACCTTGCAAACTTGAAACAGCAAAGATTTAACGATAAATGTTTAAAAGAACAGTTTGAAAAGACAGGTTGTACTCTCTGTAAAACTATGCAACAAATGTCAACCATGTTGTGGAGCTAGTAGGTGGATGAGAGAAGAGACAGAGCGAACTTGCACAAGCCTACATCCAAGCTGAATGTATTGCGTAATCACAACTGGATCAGGCAAACCAATGGCCATAAATAAGCAATGATCCATGTCAATGACACTACATGGAAACAGGTGAGAGCTAGAGTCCAGGGCGGTGAACAACTCAAGTTCCTTGTCTGCCATCCATTTTTATTTCTATGTGAGCGGCAGTGGAGTAGCCTAGTGGTTAAAGCGTTCGCTCATCACGTTGAAGACCCGGGTTTGAAGCCAATTTATGGTGTCCCGCGCCGTGATATTGCTGGAACATTGCTTAAATTTCTACTTCGATGTGAGTTTTGTTGTGTTCAGGGACATAAAAGCAATATCTGGGCAACGAATGTCAAAAATGAGATTCACATATTGCAACTCAAAGAGATTCAAACCTTAGCCTTTAGTGTGACAAGTTCACACTTTATCAACTGGGCTACTTGACACAACCCATCCTTCTTCTATGTGAGTGGGTAATGCACTCTAAGTAATACCTAGAACAGGGGGCAGTGGGGTAGCCTTGTGGTTCAAGTGGAATCAAAGACCTGGGTTCGAATCCCCATATGGGTACAATGTGTGAAGCCCATTTCTGGTGTCCCCCACCTTGATATTGCTGGAATATTGCTAAAATCTGCTTAAAACTATACTCACTCACTCAACGAGAACAGGCCATTCATTTCATACCCAAGTGGGAATCAAACCTAGACCTAGAAGCAACAAGCTAACGCTGTATCACTGGGTAACCCCAATGCCCCACTGATCAAGAAATCAACAGCAGAAGGTCAGAAGAACAAGCAAGGAATAACAATTATTTCAGAAACTGTGCCCTAATAACACTTAATAATGTGTGTCAAGGAAAGTCAGTGAATCAGTAAGTACACTATCTTGTAGCAATGTTGAAGCAGGCACCAAGAACAATGTCCTCATACTGCTGGAAACCAGATACATACTGTACATGTCTGAAAAAGAAGTAATTGGGAAATTGCAGCTGTCTATAATTGTCTAACTCAGTGTTAAATTGACACTTGATCACCAGCCTCATTGATCTGTGGCCAATACTGATGATGAACATAATTACAGGTACTGATGAATTGACTATCAGTCAACTCCACCTCCAGACAGATGGTGAGGGACTCTGGTCAGCATGAAGGACCTGTGTACAGGCAACAACCTCAATCAACTTCGATCAATCTTGTCCCATTGTTCATCTCTACCTTACCACAGTGAGACACACCCATTCTGCCACGCCCACGTGAACAGTTTGTTGTATAATGTCTTGCAACATAAGACCAGTGATTTCATAAAATTCAACAAATTGTTCATCTGCGGACAAGAACTGCAAAACAGAGAACTGGCACATTCTAAATGACTCGCACATCCAAACAAATAATATTCAGAGTAAATGCACATAATCATCTTACAATATGTTAAGAGAACTTAATATTTCCATAATCATCTTACAATATGTTAAGAGAACTTAATATTTCCATAATCATGTTACAATATGTTAAAGATCACATAAACCCTAGGGGGTAAAAATACATAAATCACTAACTGGCATCGTTATAAATGAAACCCCGTCATTAAAACTACTCATTTCGACCTTTAATTGACTTAAATCGACCTTTTTGACAACAGTGCACAATTCTCACCCGCGAACGAAATTTCAACCAATCAGAGCGGCGCGACTCTGTGACGTCATATGAGGAATAGCTTTGAGGGCCGATGCAGAATTCATCTACATTTTAGGGGGTAAATTATCTTGTTTACAGGCTTGTATAAACCTGAAATCGTGACAATTGTTGTGGAAAATGAAAGCTATATGTTCTCACAATCTACTGTCATTTAATTTTGTCTCCTGCTTTGCCTAGCTTCCGAGTTACAACTTGTTTTCATAGACGCTTCTGTCACAATTGATTGGTGTCGTTAGGCCCTATTTGTATAATGACTGATCCAAATTGATCCCATTTCGGTGTTTTACCTCGATATTTAATCATGTCATGTAAAAATCTGTTTGTATTCTCAAAACAGTGTCGGCCCATAAGTTTTCACATGCAATACAGCAATTTATACTCCCTAGTTGTAACCAGTGTTAGGTGGTATAAACCTACACATGTAATTTGTCATCATTCACTTGATGGTCAGTTAATGAATTTATAACAGGTATTATTAGTGGTAACACACTTAGATTACCCGACATTTGGCATTTCTTGTGTCTGGAGTAAATATTCAACATTATAAACATCGATCAAAGGATTAACCGATAAGACGCTGATTGATTAATTACTTTTATCTTACACAGCGGAATTGTCAAAAGGTAGTGTTTATGTATGTAGATTTACTAATCTATACTGAATACACTCTGCCGTGTCGGTGTCTGCGTAAAAACAACGTCCTTCTTTCAAAGGATTAACCGGCAATACATTGATTGATTGCCCATTATTGGCTAACTAAATTACTGTTTTTAATGAAAGGCGGACATTATGCAATTAGTTGCCAGGTGTGCTATCTTGGGTGACCAATGAGACTATACACCAATACCTGAAAAGATTTATCACTTTTTCGTATATTAAACTGTTAAAAGACACATCATTTGGAACAGTTTTGTGGATATTGATGGATACATTCCTCAAACAAGGTAATGGCCTGATATTGTTCCTATAACTTTAATCTGTTTTAAATTTAATATTTGCATTTTGTTTTTATTCATTTGTCGTAGCATTCAACAGATTCATTGTTTTCGCCGTGAAGTGTAATGAGACAGACAACATACACTAGGGTGTGTGTGCGAATTATGATTCACATTGGCAAACTATAAAATGTCTAGATATTACAGTTCTGTTATAAATTCACTATAAGTATCAGCAGATCGTCAGCTTTTTATTTAGTTGCAAAATGCATAAAAGTATGATAATAAACTAATTAGGATTATAAGACCAAATATAAAGACGCACATTGACTAGTATCTACATACTGGTGAGTGGACATTAACCATGTGAATGTAGCAAGAAATTTATCGCGCAGTATTGTGACTTCGACCCCCACCTCGCTTCCGTGGAAGAAATCGTTATGTTATAAGTTGTGTCATGCAAAATCCTTTTTGGTTATGATTCCAATACATATTTAACTCTGAGTAGAAAGTAGTTTTGATTTTCTAACTTGATGAAAACAAACTATAATCTCATTAATTCTAACAGCCTTTCACGATTTTCAAAATGGCGGCGCTGTCGGGAACATCCGCCAGTCTGTGGATAAATGCTATTTAGGTTTGTTTTCACCGAGTTACAAAATCAAAACTACTTTCTACTGGTAATAAAATATGTATTTTATTGATGGCCAATAGGATTTTGCATGACATAGCGTATAACATAACAATTTCTCCGATGGCAGCGAGTGGAGTGTCAATATAATACTACTTACAATATTATTGTTACTTCGACCACAACCCCACTTCCGAGGAAGAAATCGTTATGTTACAAGTTGTGTTATGGAAAATCTTTATGGTCATCAATCATATACATATTTTACTATAACTAGTAAGTAGTTTTGATTCTTTAACTTCCGTGAAGCGATCTGAACACAAGTAAGATATCGTTTCAGGCTTCCACAACGCTAAACCTGCACTCACAAACATAACCCATTTAGCACAAACTGCGGGGTCCTGTGGAAATCTGTGCATGGTGACACCATCACCCGACCCTAGGAGCAATTGACGACAAAGCAACGATTCGGCATGTCGTCGTTGATGTCGAGAAATCATCAAAATGATGAGCGTGCTACACACTTTCTATACAACTAACTGAAAATCGTTCCTCATATGACGTCACTGCAGTGCTCTGGCGACAGAGTTACGTAACCTGTCTGTGGTTTCGTTGGCGGGCGAGAGGGAAGCAGGCGACTTTTGGCCACTTTTAATCGCTTTCGGTATTAATTAACCACAAGTTTTTAAAGAATAAATTTGGTCATCCATAAAGACTAACCACAAATCTTTCATATGTAATGGTTAAAAGAGTAACAAAAACAAAGTTTAGTGGTTCTTTAAGAGAACTTAATATTTCCATAATCATCTTACAATATGTTAAGAGAACTTAATATTTCCATAATCATGCAATGCAAGTGACAGAATATAGCTCCACACAGCTGACCCATCGTGTCATTTATAGGATCAAGAGCTGAAATAACATACATGAAAAATTCAAATGGTTAGCAGTTAACCAAACTGCTTTTAGGACAATAATATTTCATCCAAATATAAACTATAAATGATTTAGATGTGATACCATTGGAAGAAAGGCCAGTTGCATGACTGCACAACTGATGCTTGTAAGTGTATGATATTAAACTTAGACTGTCATTTGCAAACTTTGAAAGTTTGATGTTCATACAGCTCGGCACTTTATGAAGGCTCATACTCCAATGAACCAACTCAAAGTGAAAGTAAGTTCTTAATCATAAGATTATTTTTTTCAGTATATACACCATGTTTGAGAGATAGTTCATGTTTTTCAGCTTACAGTAGTAAATGATAAGGCTGTATTTTTTTCTGTGTTTCGCATCTCTTAATTCACATTGAATTTTCATTCCAATATGAAGTAACAAAACGTTTTTAAAAATGTAATTTTTGGAGTAAAATTGATATTTTATACTTATCCTGACTCATGCTCTTTTTTGCTTGTCTTCTTCTTCTTGCGAACATGGTGGAACACTTGTATCTCCCTAATTGAAGCTCCCTTCAATTTAAAATCACTAATTAGTATTCACCACGAGTTACCTCCTTTCCACAAGCGGGGAGCGGGGAGCCACCTCTACCCATGTGCCTCACTCTCTCCTCATATACTGGGCCCAACATTTTGAATTTACAGGGAAATCCAAAGTGTTATTTGGGGAGGATGGGAGGGCTGACCTCATGAGTCAGGATAAGTATAAAATATCAATTTTACTCCAAAAATTACATATTTTTTCCCTTATCCTGACTCATGCTCTTTAACTTGTAGCATCCTCTGGAGACGGGAGGTGGGAATATCTAATACTTTGGATTTTTAATAATTAGTGATTTGAACTGTGATGATTGTAATAACCCTATGGGAACTTCATAAAGGCACTGAACTGATGAATTCCTGCTGCTAACTTATCAGCTGCCATATAAAAGGTTATTACCATGTACTTATTATGATAAAGTATATATAACATTAATACAATGCTTAAGACTAATAGACTTAAGCTTGTTAATATGCTAGTATAAACTCCTTAGAGTTTGTTAGCTAAAATACTTTAAGATATAACATAGTACTAAGCTTAAGATATGATTAAACTTAAGCTAATTATATAATAGCAAACTCTTTAGAGTTTGTTGGATTAATATACTTATATGATATAGATATAATGCTGAGCTTAAGATATGAATAAGCTTTAGCTACATATATAATAGCAAAAACTCTGTAGAGTTTGTTAGCTAATATATTTTTATAATATGAGTATAGTACTGTGCTTAAGCTATAATTAACTTAAGCTACATATATAATAGCCAAACTCTGTAGAGTTTGTTAGCTAATATATTTTTTATAATATGAGTATAATTACTGTGCTTAAGCTATAATTACCTTAAGCTACATATATAATAGCCAAACTCTGTAGAGTTTGTTAGCTAATATATATTTATAATATTAGTATAGTACTGAGCTTAAGATATAATTAATTTAAGCTACATATATATAGCAAAACTCTGTAGGGTTTTGTTAGCTAATATATTTTACAATATGAGTATAGTAGTGTGCTTAAGATATAATTAACTTAAGCTACATATATAATAGCAAAACTCCGTTAGAGTTTGTTAGCTAATATATTTTACAATATGAGTATAGTATTGTGCTTAAGATATTATTAACTTAAGCTACATATATAATAGCCAAAAACTCTGTAGAGTTTATTAGCTAATATGTTTATAGTGTAACCATAGTACTAAGCTTAAGATAAGATTAGACTTAAAGCTAAATGTATATAGCAAAATAAACTCCTTAGAGTTTATTAACTAATATACTTTTATGTTAAAAACAGTACTGAGCTTAAGTTATGATGAAAACTTAAGCTATATATATATAATAACCAAACTCCGCCGAGGTTTTGTTAGCTAATACCTTTATAATGTAAACATACTGCTTAAGATATGATGAAAACTTTAAGCTAATTGTATAATAGCGAAAACAACCCTTTAGAGTTTGTTAGCTATGATATAAACCTAGTATTGAGCTTATGAAGGGAAAACTTAAGCTACATATATAATAGCAAAAGAACTCCGTGAGAGTTTGTTAGCTAATACATGTTAT